TCTGCCCACTCACAAGCCTCCTTAAATCTCTTTAATCTCATAGGACTTTGCCTAATATATTTAACTGCAGCCCTAATTGTAATCACAGATTTATTCATTTCTTTCTCTTTAGTACCCTCACCAACAACCAAGTTTATGATGTGGGCTGCACATCTCATGTGAATGTCTTTCCCACCAAGAATAGCAGTTCCCCATTTATTTACTGCATCTTTTAAAACCCTCACAAGTCCATCATTTGCTGATGCATTATCAGCAGTTAATGCATAAATTTTCTTTAACCCTCAATCCTTCAAACATCTAACAAGAAGATCTCCCAACTCATCTCCTTTATGGCTATCAACAGGACAGAAACACAGTATTTTCTTATGTAACTTCCACTTAGCATCAATGAAATGAGCAGTCAAGCTCCTATAAGTGATTCTTTGTAAGCTAGTCCAAGTGTCGTTGGTTAATGAAACTCTCAAATTTGATTCTTTGAAATAATTTTTCAAGGCAGTTCTATGTTCTACATAGATGTCATAACATTGTCTAGTGATGGTTCTCCTAGATGGAATTTTAAAAGTTGGTGGCAATGCTACTTCACAAAACCTCTTAAAGCCTAATTTTTTAATTAAGCTAAAGGAGTCCTCATCAATAATTAACATTTCAGCTAATGCTCTCTTCACTGCACCTTCATCAAACTTCCAAGTTCCTAAATCAATCACCGTCTTACTTCCATCTACTTTACTAACATACTTCAACAGTGTATTATTTTTCAAATTACTAGGATTTTTCAAGCAACATTCAATATGACCATTCATGGTAGAAGTACCATTTCTCCTAGGTTCAGCACACAACACCTTTCCACAATAATTACATCTTGCTTTCTGCTGACTAGTAAATGGATCATCAAATGCAGTGAAGTGTAGCCATACCTTTGATCTTTTTTGTACACCCTTTCTTTTCTTTCCAAAATTCCCACCCTCATCATCATTGTTCTGCAACTCAATAGCATTATTTGCTATTGTTGCATTAATATTAGCCACATTACTCATGTCATGTACCAAAAGAATCAAAATTTACATAATTAATTCAAAAAAAATTAAAAAATATTAACCAAATTCATTAGTTGATAAAAAAAATCAAATTCAATAAACTAAAACTTACAGCTTGGTTAATTCCATCCAAATGATCAATCTCCATCTTGATATTTTGAATTTTGAATATTAGAATAGAATAAAATAATCCAAATCTGCAACCAATTAAATATAAAGAATCAAAAATTATAATTATAAGCATTATAAACAATATATTAAAAAAAATCTTAATTTTCTAACAATTAAAGCCACACTTCAACTTTCAAGCTCAATATAGAAAATTTCATAAATTAATACAAGTAAATCTCCTCTGTACATATATTACAATCTACTATAAATATAAACAGAAACAAATTATAAATAAAAATCAACAAATAAATTTAATTAGACAACACAATTTAATTGTAATAAATTTAAACCATCCGAACATATCAACACAAAAATAAAAATCAAAATTTGTTAAAGATATTAGATAGAGAAGATTTTATTATTTATATTTATATTTATATCCTTAATTTTCTAAGATAACTTTAAGCTCGGTCTTTCTTGCAAACCCAACTCTTCTCTGTTCTTTTCTTTTCTCCTTTCTTAAGTCATTTATTAAGACTTTAGACAGAAAATGTTGGGAGTGTTCAGCAGCTCAATGGTTGCAGCCGGATGCCGGACGCGTTGGTTGCAGCCGGATGCCGGAGAGTTGGTTGCAGCCGATGCCGGAGAGTTGGTTGCAGCGGATGCCGGACTCCATCTCCAAAATCACGTCAACGGCCCTCTTGAACCGCTTCCTTGAAAGATCAAAAATGGAAGGAGAAATCGGAGATGAGGGGAATGGTGATAGCATTATCGTCACCACCACCATCAACGATTTGCAGATCTGGGCACTATGGTCACCACCACCATTACCGATCTGCAGATTTGGGCACATCCTTACTGTTTTGGACACTCACTCACCTCCAGCCTCCTCTGGTTTTGTCTTGAATCAAAGATTGAAGATGAGAGGAAAAATCGAAAATGGAAGGAGAAATCGGAGATGAGGGGAAAGGTGAAAGCTTGGATGAGATTTACTGGTTCTAAGGAGAAGAAGAAGAAGATTTGTTGACGGGAATGGTTGAGGCAGAGGGAAAGGAATCTGTTTGGGGAAAGAAATAAGAGTGAAGAAATAAAAAAAAAAAAAAACGCACACTGTCTTCTGAGTTCAATTTCAAGAAAAATCAAAACATTGATTCACTTTCAAAATACAGTATGAGGAGGAAAAATAAAGAAAGAATTAGGGATTTTACCTGCAGTGATACCTTGCCGACGAAAGAAGGATTATAGTGATGAAGAGAGCAGATGGTTTGATGCTGTGTAACTTGCAGAAATAGAACACGAGAGACAGAATCAAAATCCATAGGAAGAATCGAAAAGGAAAAAGAAAAAAAAAGAGAGAAAGGATCCATAACAACTTACCAGATACCCATATGGAGAGAGAAAGAAACAGGAGATCTGGGCTTTGATTTTAGATTTTTGGTGATACACGGTAGAGATATGGCTGAATCTAAAATAGATTAGTGTTAGAGATGGATGATGAAGAGAGTTCACAATAAAAAGAGGATGAGATCTTGGCCGACTGTGAAAGGGGGTGAATGAGGAGAGAAAGTGAGAAAAATAAAAGTGAAATGAGAAGAAAATACTAGAGATAAACGATGAGTTCATTTGAAACTTTCTAAAAGGGGTGGAGGGAAAGGTTTTGGCGGAGAATCGAAGGATGGAGGAGGCAGGTAGATGAAAATTTTCAAGAGAAGCTGGGAGGGAATGAACGAAATTTCTCAAATTAGGGTTTGTGCTGAATGCAGAGGTAATATGTTTTATATTTGCTTAAAAAATAATGCGGGTTTTCGGTTATGATATTCGGTTGTTCGGTTTTTGAGTCGACAACCGAACACCGCACCGCTTAGAAATGGTTGAGGCCCGAAACCGCTGCTTGGGCCCGGAGACTGTTTTTGTCCGCACCGCAAGCCCAACTTTGGTGCGGTTTTCGAGCAACCGATCGGTTGCCCGCGTGCGCGCCCAGCCCTAGTTGCAAAGAAACTCCATTGTACGAATGTAGTTTTTTTATTTTCTAAGCATGGAAGAATTTGGGGGAGAAGAGATTTTTTTAAAAAAATTATTAGGAAAAATCAAATTTTCAATCAATTATACCTAAAATTTTAAGAGTTAAGGACAAACATTGAATACAAAAACTCGATTTGTAAAAATGTAACTTTCATGGTCTGA